AGGAGGAACTAAGGTAAGGTCATACTCGTACCATGGTGTGCGATGGTCCAAATTCTACCGTCCGGAGTTGGCGATTTCGGAGTTGAATATGCCAGTCAGTAACCATGTAGCTAGCCAGTGTAACCATGGAAATAATTGTTTTGACCTGGGCAAGCAGTTCACTGGGGCAGATCGTCAGACGTTCTTTTGTTTCTGCTGTCCATAGAGCTTTATTTATTAACTAATGACATGTCAAGATGTAGTCTTAATTCGTGTCAAATCGTACCTGTAACAAACTGTTCACTCGCCAAGCAGAAGTTGATTGGGAAGATTGTGACCTTAAATGCACCGTCTTTTGGCATACAGCCCAATCGATGGGCTATTGTTTGATTGATTTGATTTTATTAGTTCGCAAATTAAACAAAACAGACAGTGATACTAGTAATACAAAACAAGGATAAAAACAGGTGCAGGAGGAGGGGAGAAGCATGGAATTGTCTTGCCATCATGTTTCCTTACGACTTTGCTGGAGATTATACAACGAATGATCCACTGGTCGACTTGAAACTGCCAGTCAGTTCGGTGTAACCATGGCAATAATTGTTTCGACCTGGTTTGCCGGGACAGACCGTCCGATGTTCCTTTTGTTTCTGCTGTCCAGAGAGCTTTATTTATTAACTAATGACATGTCAACATGTAGTCTTAATTCGTGTCAAATCGTACCTGTAAGTACAGTAACAAACTGTTTTGAGGTTGATTGGGAAGATTGTGACCTTCTATGCACCGACTTCTGACAGTCCAATATTCGTGTTCACGGTGGCGACAGGTTCAGGGAAAGGAAAGTTCAGAAATTATTTGTTAACTGTATTAAATGATTAGTTCACTGTACAGAAATGACAGTGAAAACCCTGAACATAACAGTACAGTGAAAAAAAATCAGGAATTACAGTACTGTCTCGCAGATCCAATGTTTCCTTACGACTTTGCTTGGAGATTATACAACGAAAGATCTATGGTCGACTTGAAACTGCCAGTCAGTTCAGTGTAACCATAGAAATAATTGTTTTGACCTGGTCAAACAGTTATCGGGCCAGAACGTCCGATGTTCCTTTTGTTTCTACTGTCCATAGAGCTTTATTTATTACCTCATGACATGTCAACATGTAGTCTTAATTCGTGTCAAATCGTACCTGCAACAAACTGTTTTGAGGTTGATTGGGAAGATTTTGACCTTCTATGCACCGATTTCTGACAGTCCAATCTTCGGATACTGTCTTGCCACCATGTCTGCTTACGACTTTGCTTGGAGATTATAAAACGAAAGATCCACGGTCGACTTGAAACTGCCAGTCAGTTCAGTGTAACCATGGAAATAATTGTTTTGATGTTCCCTTTTTTCGCGCTGTCCATAGAGCTTTATTCATTACCTAATGACATGTCAAGATGTAGTCTTAATTCGTGTCAAATCGTACCTGTAACAAACTGTTCACTCGCCAAGCAGAGATTGATTGGGAAGATTGTGACCTTAAATGCACCGTCTTTTGGCATACAGCCCAATCGATGGGCTATTGTTTGATTGATTTGATTTTATTAGTTCGCACATTAAACAAAACAGACAGCGATAATACAAAACAAGGATAAAAACAGGTGCAGGAGGAGGGGAGAAGCATGGAATTGTCTTGCCATCATGTTTCCTTACGACTTTGCTGGAGATTATACAACGAATGATCCATGGTCGAACTGCCAGTCAGTTCAGTGTAACCATAGAAATAATAGTTTTGAGCTGGTCAGACAGTTTGCTGGAGCATAACGTCCGATGTTCCTTTTGTTTCTGCTGTCCAAAGAGCTTTATTTATTACCCAATGACCTGTCCACCTGTAGTCTGCATTCGTGTCAAAAATCTTACCTTCGTCAACTTAGGCCCAGTTTACACGGGGCAAACTTATATCTGTCCTACGACGATTGACACTAGGAATGTGTCTATATCGTATTTTGTGTGGGAGGTTCAAAACTCCACGCAATTAGTAGCTCAAACTTAAATAGATGAGCTCTGAGTCTGAGGGGGTAAAATTTCCTTGGGGGCATGTTGGGCATCGAGATAAGGAGCTTTGTGTGTGTTACTCTCCAAGCAGATGTTTAGGCGTCGGCTTATTTTTGATGTGTTTTTTCGTCATTTTTATCGGGCTTTCTTTTTCTTACTGGTATATTTTTCTTTTACCAGCCCTACTACGGTGGCATATTGGGTTCTGCCCTGTCAATTATACTAGCTGTCTTGCCAATTTTATAGCCTCGTGGGGTGCGGCGAAATGTTCTCTCAACGCCGGACAAACTCCCTTGGCATGCTTATCTCTCTATTTGGCCGATTTCTACTCTTTCCAGCCGCCTCCCCAAGCCTGGTAGAGGCTACCAATTTCAATTGACTCTTGCACTACCAAAAGATCTGCTTGGAGCCTATAGCTAGGGGGTGTGCGGGGCCTGGAAGCAGTCTGGTATCCATCATAATCAGAACTTTCGCGCCATTTTCCAATCTTGTGTAACATAACCAAACACGGATTGTGTAACTGCTGTCAAGGTGTTTACCCCAGTCCGATAGCACCCGTCTCTTGTCCAATCTTAGCTGCCAGAGAGAGCGGCACCATGTCAGACATGTGAGGACTATTTATACTAGACTATTTATACAGCGGTATCAGCAGTATTTGCTTTATTAAGAGGGCCTGCATGCACTTTTTTTCGTAAGGCGTAATCAGGCCTTTTTAGTCTTCGTAATCCGTAGGCGGCCGCCCAAAATCACCGTAATTCGTAATCAGTACATTAGACATAGCGCGGAATTGTTCACAATCGGCTCTGAGAATTTAACGTACTAGTAATTCGTAATCAGCGGCGAAAAGTTTGCGTAGTTCGTAATCACTACACCCCCCATGCAGGCCCTCTTAGTGCCTTTGAGGCCGTAGGGGCAGTGGGTTAAGGGGGACTCAACAGCACAGGCCTGTGTTATTTTTAAAAGACCACACATTCGTATTAATGCAAAATTAACCACAGTTGTAAAATGTCATAACAGATTAACAAGGAAATTAACCATTCATAATCCATAAACCGATTTCCCAGCACAATTACTTTTAGGGATTCAGAAAAATAATATCTTTAGAACCAAAATTTGCTTCTGTTGATGAGACATATTTTATTCCAATGTGTGCACGGTACGGTATTAGAAGGTGGAGCCCATCCCTCTCCTTCCACTGCCTTTTACCTCCTCAACTGAAGTCAAGTACCCATTAATTTTACACATGAGTGGAGTGAGGAAAGAAGTGTAAAGTGCCTTTCCCAAGTACACAATATTTTGCCAGGAATCGAGAGTATTATTTCAGAAGGCCGGAAACAAAGTCTAGCCAGGAATCGAACACGCGACCTCTCAATCTCGTGTCCACTAACCTAGCCACTCGAGCATTCGATGCCACAAATTTGTTTTGATTCGGACTATAGAGATTATGTGAATAGATTTTTAAAGTTCACACTCACACCCTTGGGCACGTGCATCACATTATCATATTTACTCGAATTTAAAAGGAAATTTAAAACACAAGTCGTATCATATTTACTCGAATTTAAAAGGAAATTTAAAACACAATTTGTATAATAACATATCATCCAATGTGTCACAATTGCGAAGGTTCTACAAATATCATACAATACGAATAACCTATAAACTTAAAGTGATAAACATTGAGAAAAATGAATGAGATTTTTTCAGCCTTGGCATTATCAATGCTTGCTGTGCTGAATATGCGTATCGCTGCCTCAAGTGTTACCATAAGTGGTGGTATAAGGGTTAATCATACACCGTTATCTGTAGTATGTAAGGTTATAGGGCTTCTGACCTGGTACAAAGTACGTGGGACCAAGGCTCGCTCACACTCACAAACACGTGCAGTTTTATTGTATTTAAATGACTTTAAAGGGAATTTAAAATACGAATTTAAACACAAGTCGTATACTAATGTAATGTTACAGTTCTGACACTTTTACAAATATATACTTATAAAACTATCGCAGAGTGGAACTCACTGTCACCAAGTACAGTAGGGGCAATGTCATTAGATAGCTTTAAACAATGTCTAGAGTTAGAAGTTCGAGGGTTAGGTGTAACAAGTCGATCGGTGTAATGTAGCCAGCTGCCGCCGCGCCGCGTGCCTGCAAAGCTGGTGTGTTACGCCGAAAGGCGGCTATACCGGCTATACAGATACGATAACTTCTCAGTGATTTGTAAAGGTTTTCTTCGCATATTGAAATGTATTCAATTTCTGAGGGTGTGCATGGGGGTCTGACAAATTGAAAAACTGACGGATTTTGCATCTGACAAAATTATGCTTAGCTGCACTGCTAAAAGGCATAGAACTGGAATCTATAAACTACAGATATTTACATACCTTGTCAAGCCTCTTTTGTCAATATCTATGCTATTCTTCATGTTCAATCAAGGAGTTTTCATTGAAGCTTCCTTGGTTAAATTAACCTGTCAAGAATTACACTCTCTCTCCACTAGAGGCGACCAAACATTTGACAGATCGAACTTTTTGCAAATTACGACTTTTTCGTAATGTGTGTTTGCTGTCTTTTGCATACGTGTAATAGTTTCACATTGTGCATCATATGCCAAGTATGCAATCAAGTCGGGTCACACAAACAATGTTGGTCGCTGTACAGTCGCCCACTTCTGCACATTTTTCACTGCCGTAGAGACGGTAGAAGCACCAGGAAGGAATACCCGTTACAATTATGGAATCAATTTGCGGTCATACAAATCCAATTTTGGTCGCTGTCTGGTCGCCTAGCTAGTGGAAAAGGGGTCTATGTTCGCTTCTATACATTTTTCACTGCCGTAGAGACGGTAGAGGCACCAGGAAGGAATACCCGAAACAATTAATTTATGGAATCAATTTGCGGTCATACAAATCCAATTTTGGCCGATGTATGGTCGCCCAGCTAGTGGAAAAGGGGTCTAAGTTCTCTTCTATACATTTTTTTCACTGACGTAGAGACGGTAGAGGCACTAAAAAGGGATACCCGTAGCAATAGGGATAGCCCGGCAGGTAGGGCGACGGTAGTCTAGTAGGGGGTGACACCGGCATGAGAGCAGGCGGGGGGATAACTGGTGGGAACGGGGCCGACACAGGGCGGTAAGGAGCGACCCCTGGCGGCGACAGGGCGGTACTGCCGCCGGCATGCTCTGAGGACGGGGACGACATCTCGTTCCCATAGCTCCGCGTGCAGGGCCCTGGGACCAAGCTGGGACTGCATTGGATGGCGCCAGAGTTGCTTTGCGGTACTGTAGGTGATGGTCTTCTTAGTTCTTCTGCTCTTGTTGCGTTTGTAGTTTGACTGTCCGTGTAACTGCGAACGGGACGAATTTCTGGAGCTGCCTTACCCATGATGGGGTTACTAGTAGTACTGTAGGGAGACGCTCTGAAGAGCGGATGCATGAGCGAGTACAGGGCCCGTCCGTCCTGCGACTCCTCTGTTTTGGAGCTTCTGTGACCATAAAAAAAGAAGGAAAGGATGACAAATGAATAAAAGGCAAGCATGAAATTACAACATCGTGTGACTCCAATCTGTCAGTCAACTGTAAGGACATACTAACTAACTAACACCAAGTTCAACACCAACACAGGTTCTTTCAAGTCTATTTAACATGTACGTAAGTTGGTGTTCTTCCACACATACGATTGTACAAATCAGTACAATTCAGCTTATTGTACATGTACCTCATGCTGCAAGACTGGATTTCTTTATCAAACTGTACTTATAAAACTGTAAACTGTATAACGTTAGTGGTTGTGGCTAGCGGGCACTAAACTGTACTGCCCTGCTACCGTAGGATCTGCTTGGCGATCATATGAAACAATGACAAACTCCCCAGCAAATGTTGAACTCTTGTAACCCACCTGAAGCGAGCGGAGCGGCGTAAGTAGCTTCCCTTGGCGAACATGTTTCCGCAGTCCGGATGGAGCGCCCACAGTCCGCCCTTACCCGGCTGCTCACAGGATCGTGGTACCTGCAAGGAGGGGAGACAGGTGTTGTCAGAACGTGAAGAAACGAGGAAACTCAAGGGAAATCGTACTGAGAGCCTAGGAAAGGCGAACATGTTTCCCTTACCGGGCTATATTATTCACAGGACCGAGGGATCTACAAGGAGGGGGAGACAGGTGTTATCCGTTATCAGAAAGTGATTAGAAGTTAAGTCAATCTTAATAGTAATAGCCTGGGACTGAGGGCGAACATGTTGCCGTAGTCGCGACGTGAAGAAAGAACCAGGGCGGTCTTGTAGTTCATGTAGCTTTCGAAGCTCAAGCAGGCCCCAGTGGCTTAGGATAGGCACTTTACACCTATTTCTTAACTCGATTCATGTGAACATGAGTACCTGCCTTCGGTTAGGGGAGTCTTATAGAAAGGGACGTAAAGCTTAAGTCTAAGTCCCATGTTTGAGTATAGCCACATATGCAGCATTTTAGAGAACCCACCACACTTACCGGAAAGAGTAAGTATGATAGGTAGTCATCGATTGCCCTATCATACGTGTCAGTATAAGTTTTTTTTAGGTTGATTGCTTTATCTAAATGTCCGTTCATACTTCTTACCTTGACGAAACAGTCGTTAAGCGACAGGTTGTGCCGGATGGAGTTCTGCCAGCGCCGCTTGTTCCGTTATATCTACTAGTAAATACACATTCTTTTGTTCACTCACTCACTCACTCACTCACTCACTCACTCACTCACTCACTCACTCACTCACTCACTCACTCACTCACTCATTCACTCACTCACTCACTCGTTCGTCCGTCCATTCATTCATTCATTCAATCACACACACACACACACACACACACACATGCATCCATCCATCCATCCATCCGCCATTTATTCATTTATTCATTCATTCATTCATCCAATCCATCCATCCCTCCTTCCTTCATTCCTTCATCCATTCTCACCTTAACGAAGCAGTCGTTCAGAGACAGGTTGTGCCGGATGGAGTTCTGCCAGCGCCGCTTGTTGCGGCGGAAGTAGGGGAAGGTCCGCTCGATGAACGCGTAGATGCCGGTGAGCGGCAGCGCCCCTAGCGGCGAGCTGCGTAACGCCATCACGATCAGCGCGATGTACGAGTAGGGCGGCTTCGCGTCGTTGTCCTGAGAATATGATAAACATTATGATAAATATGAGAATAATGTTTCAGTAATAGAAACTACACCAATAATAGTAAAAGCGCATTCTCACCCATGTTGTTTCTTCTAAGGTAAATAAGTTTTGTTCGTAGTTTTGTATAGCAATAGATGCTATCTTGTACATTTATTGTGCAATAGTCTTTGCCATGATATTTAGAAAACTAAGAAAAGAACATGATTTCTAAGATTCACTTCGAAGCTTGATACTCTAATATTGATGCAGTTTTCGAACCAGAAAAATCAAACCTCTGGTATAAAAGAATACTAATTCATTGTGTACCTAAGTAAGGCATTCATTTGGAGATTACTAGCAACTTTTATGGATGATTGTTACGAAAATAATTAGAATCAAGCATCACTCAGTCCATGGGATAATTGTGCTTGATCACAGCCTTCAGTTCGAAACATTTGAATATTCACCCATAGTTTTATTTCCTAAGCAGCTTTTTACTAGATTTGAACAATTCAAAATCTTCTTGCCTTGCAATTGATTTGAATAAGGAGGTTGATTTGAACAAACAACATCTACAATACACATCGCCAAGTGTCGAACAATAGTGCAGTCAAAACACACACAGTACACATCTCAATACACATCCATAGAATCTAATTACTAGTACTGTATTGATACCTGAAGAAAAACAATATTATACATGTACCTATAAATCATCTTATATGTTACTTATATCATATACATCCCTTACGTACTAAATCACATGAATGAAGCTTTGTATATTTCTGCTTAGACCACTGAAACTGAAGGGAGCTAAAATAAATTTGTGCGTCTTTTGTTTCGCTTGGCTGTGAATGTGTTGTGCGTGAATGCAGAACTTGGGAACCTTCACATTTGACAGCATGGGTATTTGGTCTAAACCTTGAGTACTAGCTTGGCTTTATATATGGCCGTTGTATAATTTTTTGTTAGATCGTGCACGTGAATTATTTGGACTGAAGGGTAATGGCAAACGCACGTCGACCTGCTATATGCCCTACTGTTAGCCTCCATAGCATGCCAAAAACTGGGGGTTTGGGGGGTCTTCATGGTCTTTGGGATCTTTTATGTGCTATTTTCTGATTGCATATAGGCAACATAGCCGGCCTGGTTGAATTACCCCCGTTTTTTGAACTGGGCTGATCAGAAAACAGCCGAAGACAACCAAACCCCCAGTTCTATAAGTCTGCTACGGAGGCTATTTAACCTCCTTGACCTGCTATATGCCCTCGAGACTTTTGAAAACGTAAACTTTAAAACTCTCACCTCTCCTTTTTCTTCCGAAGAGGAGGAAGACGCGTCCGACGTGGTGCTGTCGGGCGTCTCCGCCAGGTCGTCGGCGGAGTTCGACTCGAGAGGCTCCGGCGACAGGGACGCGACGCTCTCGGCACTCCCCTCTCCTGACCCCGTGCGTGAGTCGTCGCGTGGGCCCGGCGGGAAGGTGGTGAGCGGTGCGGTCCAAGCGTTAGGGACGGCCATGGTGTCCGCTGATCACGCTCCCTGCAACAACTGCGACTTCTTCAGGACAAAACACGACCGCAACGCTGGGAAGAGACTTTTTCCACGCACCCAAGTATATCTCCAAGCGGATCTTGTCAAATTGGCGGTCAAGGCAGTATCCAATACGTTTGGTTGGCGAAAAAAAAAGATACGATACTGGTACTAAAAAGAAAGCCCGATAGAAACGCCTAAAAACACGTCAAAAATACAAGCTGAAGCCTTAACTTCAACTTCTAGAGAGTAACTCACAGCAGCAACTGCGAGTTTTCCAAGGAAATAGTCAAATACACGGCCACGAAGCTGGGAAGAATCTCTATCAACGCGCGCAAGCACCGTGACTGAAACGTCCGACTAGGATGGTGTTCTTTGTGTCCGTGTGTCACTCAGTTTCCATACGCTCTGACATATGTGTGCTCCTTGAGGTGTTTTCACAGCTCTCTGTTAACATGTTTTCATATAAAAACAAGTGATAATGAAACACCACCGTCCCACAATGATCCGCCATCGTCCCTTTCTCCCGACCGTCAATCGGGTGTTAATTACTTGTTTTATTGCAAATTCATGCCCGAACAGAAGAAACATATGGTATAAAAACTGACAATTAGTACACATAGAACTACTGATAACTACTAAGAAACTACTAGTAAAAAATACTGGGTTTGACTTCTTTTTTGAAGACAGAGATCCCACTTTTTCTGTAATTTGTGGGTTTTCGGATGTTACTTTTCAAAGAGAGTAGTTTTCTTTTCCTTTGTGTATGTGTGAAAGTTTGGGTAGAATTTGGAGGCTACGTCAAAGAGTTTATTTAGTCCATTGCTATAGAGGGTACAATTTGAGACAAATGCGTTTCGTCTTCCACCGTATTCAACGTACACCATCGTCCCTGCCATCAATCCGGTGTTAATTGTTCCGCTCGCCCACGAACGGCTTTGCCTAATTGATTGGATAATTATCTCACGGGGACGCTTTTTGTTGGCGAGTGTGAGACGTAACCGACGCTTCCTGTCGGTAGCCTTCATGTCGTCGTGTTATTTTCTTTACGACAAAGAGAACCAAGTAGATCCCTTACCATCTCCTTGCCCTTACTACTACCAAGGACATCTGTGTATAATGTCCTTTCTACTACTCTTTATATGGCAAACGTCTATGACACTAGTAAATGAAAGAAGGAAGGAAGACCTGCAATGTCACACGCTAACAACCATACACTTATACACATAGACATCAGTGACATTATAGAGAGTATATACCAAGGACATACAATACACATTTACATTTAGCTCGCGCTTCTTCAATTGTATGAATGTAGTACTAGGAGAGTGGATGGAAGATCAGTTTATACACGCAGGTAATTTATTTTTTACCTCCGTAGTTTATCAAAAAATGTATTGTGGTTAAAAGGCACAAAGGTAGGACAAAAATTACAATGCTATAGAGGGATTAGCGATCAATTGAGACCTCGAGAACCGCTAATGCATAAGCAAAACACCAAAGCAGTGCTGAACGGTGTTTCTTTTTGTCGAAAATACACTGATTACCTATGGGCGCTTGACGTTTGCGAAAATTAATGAAAAGACAATACTAGTAGTAAGGTAGACTAGTAATCTCCAAGCAGATCTTTTGGTGGCTGCATGGCAGTTGGCTGAGGGTGGTATATCCATTCGCCTACCCGAAAAAAAGTAAAAAAAAAACGATAAAAACGCCTGAGCAGATGTCAGAAATCACCTCTACTTAGAGAGTAGCACCGTAGAACCACGTAAAGTTCCGAGGATCGCATAAAAAGAAATTGTTCAATTTGATAAAAATAACTTGTCACCGCCCGGGATCGAACCGGGGACCTTGCGCGTGTGAGGCGCACGTGATAACCACTACACTACGGTGACATTTGTTGGGACAGGGAGGCACGCTAAGGAGTATAAATCCAACGTGCAGTGCTAAACAAGACTATTTCAGAAATTAAATATGTTTCCTCACCAATCTTTTACATAATATTGTTGAGAATGTCACTTGTGTCGGATGTTTTACTAAAACTAAGCGAAACGCTGCAAAACCAAATTTTACATTGACACGACACTTGCGCTCCTAGCGAAAAATAGCCAAACTGCAGAAGAATGATTGCAAACGTCAGCCGATGTTAGCGGGTATCATCACATTAATTATTCAACCAACAACAAATCAATGCTAAGAACAATTCCTACAGGAAATGGATCGATACGTACTCCAGTCTAGGACATAAAGAATTTTAAACTCTTCCTAAAATCAATATGAATAAAGCAAGTGTGATTTAAGGCAAACTTTTTGTCTGTATTTTAGTTTCTGCTGCCTTTTAAATTAGTTTTACAGCCCTATTTGACTTCGCAGTAACTCATACTTTGACATGTCCATTGAAATCGTTTGTAGAACACGTTTGAAATGTTTGAGTTGTCTATTTTTGCTTAGCAATCACCTGAAATCCGCACACCTGTAAGGTAAAATTCACACCTGACTAGTATCAGGTGGGGATCAATTAACTCTACCCACAACCCCCCGCGCGCGGACACTGTGGGAGGAAGAAGCAAATATGGCGACCGAACGCGGGCAAAATATCCGAGTGGGTACAATTTTTATCGAAATAATCCAGAACGCGAGATTGCTGTGGTCCCATGCGTCCTTGAATCGAAAGAAAGGGACTTAGAGTTGTAGGAAAACGTTTTTGTGCCGATGAATCGGGTCTAGTTGGCGAGAAAGTGGGGAAATTGCGCGGTGAATTTTTTGTTGTTTCGGGTGCTCTGGGCCCAAACGACATCTTGTCTGCACGGGTCGTTGTGTGGAAAAATATCCGGAAAAGGACGTTTTGATGGCTTCGCGCGGTCTAAAATCGTTCGCTCTTGCATCCTCGTTTCACTGACGGTTGTTTTGTACCCCGTTTGCAGGTTTAGGATCAACAGGCCGCCGGAAATTCTCGATTCTTCGCACGCCGAGTCGACCTCTACTGGCTCACATGAGGGGCGACCGACATCGCCTCTCTGCAAAGTGATGGAACAGGTCTGGAGCTCCCCCTTTTATACCCGGTTTTCCTCGCTCAAATTGCATTTTTGTGTACAGCAAGCAGTTGCAAAGCGTTCGGAAGACCCCCACGTGCTTGTTTTTCTCGGATTCTCGGACAAATAGTTGGCATTTTTGCAGTTATTTTCAGCACATGTGGCAGTGTTCTTGCGGCGGTAAAGCTTCATGTGTTCCGACGGATAGGATGCAGGTTTTCCCGACAACTACCTTACCGAAAACCCTCTATTTTTTCCGCAGTTTGGTTCTTTTTCTTACGGAGGCGGCGTCCAGCGAGTCGGTGGGCATTCCCAGCCTCTAATTCCGACTGCGTCACCGTCCCTCACCACAGTCGAGGGCCTGCCAGAAGCCGAGTTCGACAGCAACTTTCTCGGTTCCGACATTTCGACGACTTTCCAGGGCCCCGACACCGGGTCCACCAAGCCGTCCCGACCCCAGAACACCACTTCTTACGCGCTGGAAAACGGCGACAATTCCAGGGAACAGCCGTCCTCGGCAGAGAGTGGGGACTCAAGGTATTTTCCTCCCACCTTTCCCCCGCCAAAACCTGTGCCTTTTTAGCCGTCTTTGTCGGTTTTTTACCGGGTAAAAACTAGCGACCAGTCCATACACTTTGCCGGGAAATGTAGTGACTGTAGTACACGAAGCATACAGCCACTTTACGTGGAAAAAGTGAAGCTTAAATAAGGCGAATTTTATCCTCAGTTGTCGCATATGGTAGTGAGTTAGGCTAGGAACTGAACAAGTAAACTGGAACATATGTCTGTTGTTAGGTTGTTTCTGGCATGTTCTGAAACTTTACAGGTCGTATATGTAGGATTTTATGCCCAAATTACAGACCAACTACAGACTATACTGTCATTACCGTGCATATGTACCATAGGGATTTGTAATACCACACAAAGAAGCTTCTTGTAGTGCTGTTTTCTATGTGAATAGAACTTTTTTCTATGCATTTACCCCCCACACATGTTGTTGCCCCCCTCCCACCCTATGGAAAGAACACACCCACCTACACACTCACATATAGATAATGCTGTCATTTATGACTTCAAGTTGAGAGAATATCTTTACATGAAATATTACTGAGATGGGTTTATTTGAAGATGGGTTAGATATTAAGCATCATGCAAGAACAGACTTCTGTACTCAACTCCTTGATTCAGGCAAGAAGGCTGCCTTTTTTGTCAGTCTTTGCCACTTTTCCGATTTGCGATAGTCGTAGAGACATACAAATGCAAGTAAGTCATGCAGATACTAGTACATGAAAATGGAGACTTGATGAAGATCTGGTGGCTACATCATGACAAAGTTGGAATCAATTCGGAAAGTATTCCATGCCTGTTTTTGCTCTGAAAGACACTGGTCCAGGTGACAGGCACATGTCTAATAGTCATACAGGCATAGTCATACAGGTTTCCTTTTTCGAAAATTTTTAGCGAGAATGACTCTCAATTTATTGAGATGCGAATTCAACATTGCAGCATTTGCAATGAAAAACCCCTCTTCGAAAATTAAAGCGACGTGTTCAACTTCAACATTGTGCCAGAGGTTTAAAGTCATGGGTCATTGCTGTGTATCAATAGGTGTTGAAAACAATATGCTGACCTTGAACTTCAGTGTTTCTTTAAGTTGCTTTTTGGGGATTGAAGATAGAGTATATTACTACGATATTGCATCTTCTTAGCAAGGAATTTTCAGTATGTTGTACACTGTTCTCTTAGCAATACTACATAGCTTTTCTAGCAGGCAAGGTCTATACAGTGTATCTTGGACTTTACAGGGATGTTTTTGGCCCATTATTTTACTCTTTTTGTGTCTCCTATGTCAGCTAGTGAGAAAATAAGTCATGTTACTTCTTACAATACATCATGAAAAGCTACCTTTGAGGTACTATTATATCAAGGCATCATACTGACCAGACTGTTCAATTGAAAAGTGTCCTTGAAATGAAACTTGTGTTGGATAGTGCATCACGACAGCATTTGTTGATATTTTCCTGTTAATATTCATAGATAAGTTGGAAAATATCCTAAAAGTGAAATAAAGAGCCTAGATTACAAACAATATGGGGAAACTGGGATGAAATACTGCTCACTGTTGTTAACTTATAACTTTGGGAAAGTCATATCTTTGTGGATGTGAAGAACCAAAATATTTCCACATCATTGTTTTGTAGGTTGGAAACTTTGTAAAAGATGTTTAGGCATTTCAGTGCACTTGCAGTCCATGGTGTGTTATGTAATGATTAGATGCAAGTCACATATACACTGCACACGCACATCAGATTTTTCCATGTCTTCTTCTGAGTTGTATCTGTCCTAGACCACTCGATGCCTACATGACAGCATTTGGTACATTCATGGGTCTCCTTCCAGAGGAGAATTGGTAATTTATTTGTTCCCTTCCTAAGGCACTTTTTGTGCTAAAGTATATCTGGACATAGTCAGCCATCTTGGAATGTTTTAGCGATGACATCATGTTCTAGTAGAGAGGCCCTGAGTGAGGGGTTAGCCCAGGCACTTTGGGTGCAGCAGGACTGGTCTAGGGTACAGACAACAGACAAGGACTGGGTCCATTCTGGTCTACTAACTTTGTAGTACAAGTTCTATTGATACTTATCTAGCTGTTGTGATTTTTTGTGCATAATGTTGTGTATTTCATGTATTTTTATGAAGAGATGTGAATAGCTTGTCCTTGTGAGCTTTGCGTTTACCTGGATGTACAGTTGTTTCAGATGGTAGTCATGATGTGCAGTGAAGCCTCAAACCTTGTGTTTATACAGTGAATATTCCGTTAAAAGTGTGTGTAAGAGGATAAATAAGTGGAAAAAGAGTTTTGGCTTGAGGCCAAAGCCTTTGCACTATTGCAAAGCTGGTATATATCTACTCTACTTTAGCTTGTGTTGTTGACCTCTTCTAGAGACCATCCTTGGATGGTTTGTCACCTAGGCAGCAGGCATTGTCAACAATTTGTAGTCTGCAAAAAGATGTGTTTTCAAAACAGGGAGAATATTTTGTGAAGGGCCCTTGCAGAGCATATGCTTCAAGTGTGTACACACAGGCCATATTGTCCATGTGGAAACCCCTTTTTTGTGGCCATTTCACCAAAATTCTGCCGCGGTAACTTGAACACACCGACCAGGGTGTTCTCTAGACCACAGGCACCAAGTTTCCAGCAGAAATCTTGGAGGACAATGTTGTGAATTTTGCGGTAAAGGCCTTTTTCCTGCGTGTTGAAAATTTTCCCTTTGTGGGCCCCTGAATTGTCGCATTGCAGATATAGCAGAGGTCACGTAGGACTTGGTGTTTACAGGAGGGAGTCTGGCTAGTGAAGGGGCGGCCCTGGCTGGGTCTAAAAACCTCTGCTGCAGCCTTTTTCTTTTAGAACAGCTTGTTTTGGTACATTTTAGTGGTGCAGTCTTCAAATCAGTAGATTAGAGGGTTTATGTTGCTAAAAAATGATGATTTTGAATCTAATTTCAAAACAATTTAATGCCTTACTTTCAGTAAGGAAAGCAAGAACATTTTTGCCTAGGCAAGGCCTCTTTACTAGTCTACCTCACAATGTAGTCTCAACAGGGATCTTTCTTTTAGGATAATTTGTTAAGGTACATTTTAGTGGTGGATTCTGAAAATTCAGTGGAACTAGAAGGTTTATTTTGCTTGAAAATTATGATTTTGAGTTTGATTTAATGCCTTGCTTGGAGTTGGAGAAGCAAGAACATTTTTGCCCAAGCAGGATCTCTCTACCTCACACTATAACCTCAACAGGGATCCTTCTTTTAGAACAACTTGTTTTGGTACATTTTAGTGGTGCAGTCTTCAAATCAGTAGATCTAGAGGGCTTATGTTGCAATAAAATGGTGCTTTTGAGTTTGAAATTAATGCCAATCCTTAGTAAATTGAGTTGGGTTTAAGCTAGAACATTTTTGACCAGGCAAGGTCTCACACCATGGACTCAACAGGGATTTTGTTTTAGGAAAAGTTGTTTAGGTGCATTTTGATGGTGGATTATTCAATTCAGTAGAACTAGAAGGTGTACTTAGCTAGAAAATGATGATTTTGAATCATCAAAGTTGCCCTGGCTTGCCTTTTTGCTTAACAGTAAGAGAATCTAATACCTCTCGACTTTACCTAGGACAGTTGGATGGATTCTATCCTTCATTATGTCAAACGGTTACAGAATTTACTCTTGGTTCCAGATGGCTTCGTAGAACATTATTAATGCCTGAATAAAAGTCTTCTTTGTGTACACATATTTACACTAGTATGGAAAGGCTCTTTGTCTTTGTTTGGTTACCGGGGTTTGGTCGCAGATACTGGTATAGACTTCAGACACACAGACAATTGTAAGAGCACAATATCTGTGGTATTTAGACATCAGAATACAGTTTAATATGCCTAAATATCACTTGTGCTTTAGCAATGTACTTGCACACATGTATTGTTAGATCCATGTTGCTTGTTGGTGTATTTATTTGTAAAGGTAACACATACGTCTGACCTTGCTTGAAATGACAACAAAGGAAAATGTAGCCTTGGGGATGCCTTTTGTTTTGTATTTATGTTTGCTTCTATTCTAGAATCTTCGAGGAAATTACAGAGAAGAGTTAATGAACTACTGAAAGTCAAGTCAAATTTTTTGATATGGAAAAAAACAGTCGCTGTCCAAGCTCTGTATCTGCTTGTTACTCACGTAAAAGACAATGAAGGACAAATTTTGCAATAAATGCAGACTGTCTTTTCTTAATTTTTGAAATAGCTGTTCTTTTTGAAAGAAAGTCTGTTTTTCCAAAGTAGAAACTGGAGTATACTACGTTATGATTTTTGTTGCATCAGAATTCTGTGTCTATACATTATAATAGTGTTCACTCCAGGGCTTTAGTAATGGGCCTGCCTCATGTTATTGCTATAAATGATGTCTCTAGGGTAGTCTTTTTTGTCACAAAGCACAAATTTCAGCTGTAGACATTCTTAAGTAATAGATCAAGACCTGTTGGCTTGGTATGGATGGAAAAATTTGGTTTCGATACTTGCTTTTTCTATTTTTTTCAAAGATAAAATCACATGGTTGTTTTTTTTACGCCCCCCTCACCACATTGAATGACATTTTTACTTCTGCAAATTTTACCATGCTCGGTTCATAGATATTGTTTGTTGTTCCAACTTAAAGTGCACTAATAAGATGCATACAGTCACATTTTCATTACTTTTATAGATTCACAATCATAAAAATGTCTCTATGATGGCAAAAGTTTTACATTTTTTTGCAGCCTTGGTCCATACTTTCGAGCATGTGTCAAATCCATCATTTCATGAATGAAAAAAAGAGAAGCTTATTTGCAACTGAAAACTTTTATTTGGGGTTGAAATTTAAAAAAAAAAGGAAAGTATAAAAAAACATGGTGACCACTTGACTTTCAGAATCTCAAACAAAATCGACAGCGCAAAAAAAAAAAACAAGCTGCTAAGGGGCCCAAACCTGTGTCCCTTTCTTCACAAGCCCAAGAGCT